TGTCGCGCCACCGAGTCATTGTCGGATACACGCAGTGAGATTGCCAATGGGGGGGACTGGATATGCTGACGCTGACGATGGGAGGATGGGTCGCGCCACCGATGGTCATTGTCGGGATACACAGTAGTAGAGGACTGGGTGGTTGAGGGGGGGTGAGGGGGTGGACGAACTGGGGTTGGGGGGACTGGGGGGGATAGGGTGGACATGGGGTGGGGGGTTGTTGGGGGTGGGACTGGGGTTGTGTGTGGTGCGGCTTAGGGTGGGCTGGACGGGGGGGTTGGTGGGGTGGGTAGGTGGGCGGTGGGTGGGGTTGTGTGGGGTAGGAGTGGACTGCGGGGGTTTGTGTGTGGTTGGGTAGGTGGGGTGGGGGTTGGTGGTGTAGAGTGGACTGGGGGGTTGTGTGGTGGTTGGTAGGTGGGGGTGGGGGTGGGTTGTTGTTGATGTCTTGTTGCTGCTTTATTATTATTATCACTTATTTTTATCATCACTTTTACTATTATAAAGATCATTAGTTGTAGTAATCATATCTTTTTATAATTTTTTTCTTTCATTTTGTTTTGTACTCTCTCTCTCTCTCCTCCTTTTCCTATTCCTCCTCCTATTCCTCTTCCTCCCTCTATTCCTCCTCCTCCTCCTATTTCTGCTCCTCTTCCTTCCTCCTCCTCCTCCGTCTATTTCTCCTCTCCTCCTATTCCTCCTCCTCCTCCTTTCCTCCTCCCTCCTCCTATCCTCCTCTTCCCCCCTCCTTTATCCTTTCTTTTTTTACCTTTTTTCTTCGTCTCCCTCTTCTCCGTGTCATGTCTCGTTATGTCGTTAATCAGCGCCATGCAATAAATTATCACTTAATGAATTGCAATTTGGACTTGTTACGACTACTTCTATTCGTATTTTGCATATTTCCTTTATTGATTGTTTTTTCATGTATACGTATATTACATTGTTTTTTATTTTGTTTTGTTTTTTTGTTTTTTGAACTAGTATATTCTTTTTAATTTTTGTTGCTTCTATACCTTAATTTGCATATTTGAGGATTTTTTCATTCCATTTCGTTATTTTCACATCTATCTTTTTCGCGCTGGTGTAATGTAATATTTTTCTGACTCCCTCTGTTTTTTTTTTTTTCAGGAATACAACAACAATGCGCTGTAGGTGACCAGTAGAGAGTCAAGAACTGATGCAAATTTTTTTTTTTTCTCTATTTGTCCTCCTCCCCTTGCCTCTCTCTCCTCTTCTTTCCTCTTCCTCCTCTTCGCTCCTCTTCCTCTCCTCCTCCTCTCCTCCTTTCCTCTCCTCCTCCCTCCTCCTTTGCTCCTCCTTTCCTCCGCTTCCTCATTTTCCTTTTCCTTTCTTCCTTTCTCCTCCTCTTTGCTCCTCCTTCGTACCCCCGTGATGTCACCCACTTTACTTGTCCTCAGCAATGACTTCCCAAGCATGTTAATTACTTCGTTCCCCTCCCTTCTCGCCCTCCCTATTTCCTCTCCTTTCTCTCCCAAAGGTGTTAACATTCTTTAATTACTTTCCCCTCCCTTCTCGCCCTTCCCTATTTCCTCTCCTTTCTACCCCTCCCCTTCACTTTCCTTCCCTCCACATTTACTCTTTCTTCTCCTCCCTTTCCCTTCTCCTCCCTTTCCCTCCTTTCTTCCCCTCCCTTCCCCTTTCCTTCTCCTCCTTTCTTCCCCTCCCTTCCCCTTTCCTCCCTCATTTTTGACAACGACTAACACGACGAAGATAACCTTTTCCCCCCTATTCTCTTTTCCTCTTTTCCCCTTCTTTCGCTTTCCTTCCCTCCCTTTTCCCCTTCCCCCCTCTCTTCTCCTTTAACCTTAATCATTATTGTCTTTCTTCTTCTTCTTCCTCTTCTCCCCCTTTCCGTTTTCTTACTTTCTTCCCTTTCCCATCCCCCCCCCCCTTCTCCCTTCCCTGTGTGGTTATGTAAATTAAGTTTATTATACGTGTTTGCATTTTAATATCACGAGATATGTGTGTGTGTCCGTCTGCTTCTCCTTATTTTTATCATTTTCTTTCTTTCTTCCTCCCTCTTTTTACCCCTGTTCTCTCTCCTCTCTCGCCTCTCTCTCTCTCCTCTCTCTCTCTCTCTCTTCTCTCTCTCTCTCTCCTCTCTCTCTTATATATATATATATTATATAATATATATATTATATATATATATTATATATATATATATATATATAATATCTACGTCTTGCTATCTATCATCTATCTTCTTATCTATCTATCTATCTATCTATCATCTATCTATCTCTCATATCTCTCTATTCTCTCTTTCCTTCTATCCCTCTATCTCTATCCTCTCTATCTCTCTCTCTCTCTCTCGTCTCTCCTCTCTCTCTCTCTTTCTCTCTCTTCTCTTCTCCTCTCTGTCTCTCTCTCTCTCTCTCTCTCTGCTCTCTCCCTCTCACTCTCTCTTTCTCTCTCTCTCTTCCCTCCTTTCCTTCTCTCTCTCCGCTTACTCTCCTCTCTCCCTCTCGACTCCCCTCTCTCCTCTCCCTTCTCCTCTTCCCCCTCTCTGCTCTCCGCCCTCTTCTGCCCTCTCTCCCTCTCCCCTCTCTCCCTCTCTCTCCCTCTCTCCCTCCTCCCTCCTCCCTCTCTCCCTCCTCCTCCCCTCCCCTCTCCCTCTCTCCCTCTCTCCCTCTCTCCCTCCTCTCCCTCTCTCCCCTCTCTCATCTCCCTCTCTCTCTCTCTCTCTCATTCTCTCTCTCTCTCTATTCTCTCTCTCTCTCATCTCTCTCTCTCTCTCACCCGACACACACACACACACACACTTATTCACTCACATTCTCACTTTTGCTCTCACCACTCTCACTCTCATTCTCACTTTTGCTCTCACCACTCTCACTCACTCTCTCACTCACTCTCTCACTCACTCTCTCACCACACTACACTACACTCACACTCACTCTGTCTCACTCGACACTCACAGTTTCACTCTCATTCTCACTGTTACTCTCACCAATCACTCACACGTTCACTTTTGAAAGAAAATTCCTGTCTCTGCCACAGTATGAATGATTTTCAACCATTGGCTATATTGCAACCTGATTCTTGCGTTTCATATTAATGTTAATTAAGTATTATCCAATAAATCTAAATACACTTTGGGCGTTTTATTATCATTAAAATTATCATATTCATATCTCTATTTGTAATTTTCTGCCATGTGTTATATGTAAAAAAAAAACTCTCACAAGGATACATGCATATGCAGATTAACATATACATATGTACATACTTATGTACTTACATTTATACGTATGTTGATAAAAAATGAAAAAGATTAAGGAACGACAAGAAATAATTAAAACAATAATAGTTACCGTTTTTCTTTTTTGCTCGTAAAAAAGATGGTAACTTATTACTGTGTTCATTATATTTCTTGTTCCCCTTGTTCTTGTTTCTTAATTTAATAATTAAGACCATCAAAATCTTTTTCGAAGAATTTACTTTCTATGTTACCAGACAAAAGATATCAGTCACCCCTGTCCATGAAGTTTTCTTTCATGAAGTTGACTCCCATATTCTAAACCATATATTTCACTCTACATTCGATTACACTTGTAATTAAAAACTGTATTAGGCCCAGATTCTACACCCTTTTTTAATGATTTATAATCACCAACAATATGCTACAGGTACAATAGAGGCATTCAACATCACGAAAACAGCAAAGTATTTTTTCACTACCGACTCAGTCAGTTTATTCTCCTGCCTCTCTTATTCACGTTTTTAACCCCCTAACCTCACCCCCCCCCCCCACCAGCACTCATTTCACAAGGAACGGCCATTTTCGAGTCCTGATAACACTGATAGTAGCAGGGAGCACGATATATGGATAGATCCTTCGCGGGAGTTCAAAAATGGACACTATAGAGCAGACGATGCCATGCGATCGACCTTAACGCATATTTGCAACTTGCTAGCATTCGTAAGGAACCTTTGTCTCTCCCTTTCTACCAAATCATAAATAATTACGCGTCTGTATATTTCTAAACCCTCTACAGCCATTGACATATATTTCAAAGTAAGAGCATATTCTCTACGATCGATCTTAATTATAGACATTCACCAACTAATTTACGCCAAATTTACGCATTATTTCATTCATCACTCTCCATTACCTTGCAAGAACTTAGTAATATTCATTTTTGCGGACACGTGTTTTTTACGTCCGGGCCCAGAGCAATGATTCTAAATGATTCAGCGTGTGTGTTATATATATATGTTTATTGTGCACCTGTTTGACGTCACGAACATTTGAAACCATTTGATCTGTATTTATTGTAATCATTATCACCTTACATTCATGTTTTCCTTATTGAATACATAATGATAAATGACGACGAAAATTGCCTTTAATGGAAAGAAAATATTTACGCCTGTGTCCCCCGACTCCGATGCAGTGACGTCATCACCTGTTCGACCTGAGGTGGTGTATGTGTACTTGTCGATACCAAAATCCTCGCGATCGGTTATGCGAAGGTATTCCGAAAAAAATACCAAAAGAAAAAGAGAAAAAGAAAGAAATAATGATAAATAAATTATACATATACATACATATACACACATATACACACATATACACACATACACACATATACACACATATACACACATATACACACATACACACATATACACACATATACACACATATACACACATATACACACATACACACACATACATACACATATACACACAATACACAATATACACATACATATACACACACATACATACATATACATACATATACATACATATACAGACATATACATACATGTGTGTGTGATATGTTTCGGTTGTTTTAATTCTAACACTTCTTTCTGCAATTTTCAAATGTTGAAAAGGTGTTCAAATTTTCTGTCTCTCTCTCACTTTCCTGTTTTCTTCCTGTCTCATTCTCCGTCTCTCCCTCTCGCTCTCTCACACAGCCTCACTCTGTCTAACTGTCTCACTCTCTTACTTTCTTGCTCTCTTCC